CACACAGGGAGCCTTGTCACCAGGAGTGCTGTGTTGTCACTGGGAAGGCCACCAGTTCAGATGGGATAGGTGATCAGGGGCACAGGAAGGGTTGGGATGTGTCTGGGGGGGTACCAAGAGGCTTCAGTGTCCTCGCTGCCACAGCAGTGTCTTCACAGTCCTGTGCTGCCATCCCTGTGCCTGACTCACATTTCTGCAGGCATCCAAGTCCTGAAAAGCTTGGGTGAGCTGCAGGGTGGTGTGGGGCTGGTGCTTTCTGAGGAAACATCAGTGCTTTGTTGTCAGAACTCAGAATGTCCCTCAGACATTTTTGGAGGTTCCAGGCCCTGGTCAGAAGCATTTGAGACCCTGTCAGGCAGCTGGAAACAGCTGTGATTTTGGGTTTGAGCCATGGAATGAGTTACCAACTTTGAAGGTGGAACAAGGAGTCACAAAAGTTTAGATATTATAGTAGAAGTAGTTACAAAGTAGAAGGAAGAATTTTTTTAGTATTGTATAAGGGGGTTTTAACACCTGTACAGGGGGGGTTTTACTTTGTACATGGGGGTCAGAAGTTTTAAGATGGAGGAATGTAGGCCGGTCCTGTCCTCCCTCTTTCTCCTTCCTTACCTCCATGTTCTTGGTGATGTTGGCACTCACAGATTAGTTTAGAGTAGAAAAGCACCATTTAATATAGGTAATAGGTAAAAACTATAAACATTTAACATGTAATGTACCATATAAAAGAGAGCAGCAGCCCTGGGTGAGGAGAGAAGAAGCAGTCGGAGTCAGAGAGGATGTCAGGGTGTGTGTGTGCCTCTGCCTGAGCTGTGAGCAAACCACAGCAGCCCCAGAAGAAAATCTTTTAGATAACTTGCAATAAACTGCCTTGAGACCGAACAACAGAGACTGCAGAGTTTTTCTTTGGAAGCTCAGGTTGGAGGAGAGACTTTTCCACCACACGGAGCCCCTGAACCAGGCTTGGGTTCTGAAACTTTGTCACCTGGAAGTTACAGAATGGTTGGCTTGAGTGAGGCAAAGGAAGGAATCTTTGCATGTGCTTGGGAAAACAGTGGGGCAGTAGCAAAAAATGAACCTCCCTTTGTCCAGAGCAGAGCAAGTCCCCTCAGTGCCAGCTCTGCTCCACGTTTAACCCTCCTGTTGGCAGATTGCTGGTCCTGGGAGCCAACAGCAGCTCCAAGGGTTAGGAAATCAAAGTGACTTCCTGAGGTCTTTTTATCTCGCAGGTTTCCTGCTGCAGCCTTGGCAAAAATGGTGCCAGTGAGGGCTGTGGCAGGGCTGTGGCTCGTGCTGCCAGCTGTGCAGCAGCTGTGCAGCAGGGAGTGTTGCCATCTGTGTGTGGCAGCCTTGCCAGGCTGGAGAGATGAGCAGGTCTGGTGCTTCCCTCCATCACTCCCAACAAAAACATCTTGCACCTTCCAAATCTTCCTGTTCTTTTTATTACTTTTAAAACATCACACCCCACAGTCACAAGAGGCAGGGCTCTTCCTGAAATCCTGACCTGGGATTGTTTTCAGCTGCAAAATGCTGTGGCAATATCCATGCTGTGTGTTGGGAGAGGATTTTCATGCCGTGTAAACGTGAGGTGTCTTAGAAGTTGCTCTTGGGAGGTTTTGGGAAGTGCATTACAGGAGATGTTAAATAGGGTGGTTGAGGAGGGTGGGATGGAGTAACTCCTTCACCTTCCATCAGTGCCTTGGACCTTCTGTTCCAGCTGCAGTGAGCATCATTCAGCTCCACGTGCCTCCTCCCACACCCTTGCATGGCCATTCCCAGGAGCTTTGTCCCTGCCAAAGCACAGCCTGTCACCAGGAGGAAAGGCCAATTAAAAGGAAGCAGTGAAGTCTGCCATATAAACATTTAAACCCTACCCAGGCTGAATAATAATGCAGAGTGTAGTTCCATACAGACAGATGCTTCCTGGATGGGAAGGAGCCACTGGATCTGCTGGGAATGGATAAACAGCTTTGCAGCTCCCAGTTTCTGCAGCTCAGGTCCCTGGTGTTGTCCCAGTGACTGTCCCTGCCTGGCTGCAGGTGGCTTAGGGAGGGGATTTTGTGAGCAGCCCAAATCCTGGTTGTTGAGGAATCTTGATGGAATTCTGTCCCAGCCCCAGCATGGGCTGTTCCTGCTGGCTTCAGGGAGGGTCATCACCAGTGCCAGCAGCTCCAGCTGCCTCCTGACACTGTCTGCCTGCTCTTAGACTTCCTAGACACAAAATTCACAGAATCACCAGGTTGGAGGAGATCTTCAAGATCATTGAGTCCAACCCAGCCCCAACCCCTCAACTCAACCCTGGCACACAGTGCCACATCCAGGCTTTGTTAAACACACCCAGGGAGATACCCTTCTCCTGGGAGCAGAAATCATCAGTGTGTGGCTCTGGAAAAAAATCAAAACCTTCCCTCAGTGCCCTCTGTGATGCTGGCATTGTGCCCTTCTGCCCTGCTTCCCAGACCACTCCTGCCCAGGGTGACACTGCTGAGGAGGGTCCCCCTTGCTGGTGGCTGAGCTGTTCCCACTCTGTCCCTGTTGGGTGGTGTGGGGACAGGCAGTGCTTCCCAGGAAAAGCTAGGCTCTTCTCAGAACCCCTCAGGAACAGGCTGTGTTCAGCCTCCTGAGCCACCTGGGCAATGGGAAAGGTGCAGGGAGGTGCTTGGGGGAAGAGCAAACCCAGCCAGTGCTGGTGGGGAGGAATTTGGGGCTGGGATCAGAGCGCTGAGCCAATCCCCCCCACACACAGCCAGGTAGGGTTTATCCAAGAGAGCAGCACTCACAGAAAAACAGACAGAAAAAGCTTTGCTGCTTGTTCCAGCTCACGTGCAGCTGTGTTTTCCAAAGGGAGAATTCCACACTCCTGTAGGAGTGGCTGGAGACAAACCCCATCCCTCAGCCCCCTCACAGAGCATCTTGTCCTGACAGCATAACAACCTCCCTCCTCCCAGGTGGCCATCCTCGGGAAAGGGGCTGATTGCCAAGTAAATCCAGGAGCTGCTGCCTTTATAGGAACCTCCTAGAGGATTGACAAGGCAGTAAAACAACAGTTTTCTATAGCAATTGCTCTGTGGGGAATTTGGTCAGATCGCTGCGTTGCAAATGTACAGAACAGCCTGCCTGTAGAAATCCTTGAGAGTGTGATAGGATTTAATCAATCCCATTTGTTTGGATGGAGAGGCAGCCCAGATCTCTGTGGCAGATGCCCAGGAAATGCTGGAGGCAACAAAACCTGTTAAACAGGGCTATGTGTGGCCCTGTGAACAGAATATACTGAATTTGCCTTTTTTTTGGACTCAGTCAACCCCTCCCTTTATTACACCTTAGGTGTGTCCAGTCTTCACTCATCCTGTCATTTTCCTCATTTTTTTCCCTTCTCCATCTCCTTACCTCAGACTCCTGTTTTTATTTATTTGTTTCTTTATATACAAAATGTGCCTTGATTCCCTCTTATGCTTCACTCTGTGCTGGGAGGCCACAAGAGGCAGGTGGATGTGGTGTTCTGCAGCCCTGCTCACTGTGGGACACAGGATGAACCTGCTGGGGGTCCTGCTGGGTTCCCAGGGATGCTGTGCTCTGTGATGTCCCTTCAGGAGAATGTGACATGCTGCAGAATGGAGAGGAGGTGAATGGAGTTACAAATTCCAAATATGATCCTAACAAGCTGTGTTGTTTTAAAGAGCTTTTATTTCCAGATAAGTGACTTTCTCAGGCTTTTTTTTTTTTTTTTTCATTCCCTTTTAAACCATAACACTTATCAGGACTGGGTTCATCCCTTTCCCTTGGGACAGGGAAAATCCCAAATCCCATCAGGGGCTTTTTTTTTTTTTTTTTCATTCCCTTTGAAAACTCTTGGTTCTGCTGCTTGTCCAAGCTGTGCACAAGTAACAAATAGTGATAAAGAACAACCTATTGGCACGGCAATGCAGGGGCCAGCTGGTTGGACTGTGTATTTATTGGACTGGAGATACTGGCAGCACAGAATTATGAAGATTTGCTGTTTAGGCTTCTCCTCTATCTGGTTTGGCCAGCTGTCCTTTCAAACAACAGGGAAGTTTCATGTAGTTACAGCAGAAAAGTTTATTCTCGTGGTTTATCCGAATTTCCTGACCACGCGCTGTCTGCCACCACCTTTACTTCTTCCCCGTGGCAGCCAATTCTTCCCCTCCCTTTGTTTGCTGGATCTTTTGTACAACAGAATGCAAGAGGAGCTTTCCAAAGGCTCAGCACTGTTGTAAAGGCACAGGAGGGCTCAGCACGGGGCTGATGCTCCCTGGAGCTGCCAGGCTGCTGGAGCAGCCAGGCCACGTGGCTGTCACTATGTTGTCAAGCTTGTTTTGGAAGATAGTGTGGGAGAAATGTCCTTTATCCTGAGATTGCTGGGTCTGCCATCCAAGGGGACACTCGTCAGCAATTTCCTATCTGCAAATCATAATTACTGAGACAGGGAGACAAACAACCCTGGGCCAGTCTTGGTCTTACCTGCTGTGGTTCTTAAAGAAAAGGCACAACCTCCTGTAAATAATCGCCCCAGGAAGGGAAATACAGCATTTAACATCTTTCTAAAATAGCTAGGACTCAAAAAGCACCAAAGTGTTGTCTCTTTGTCTTGCAGAATGTCTGCATAAGGCAAAATCCGGTGATTTTGGTTCTGTTAGAGGGGAAGCAGCCCCAGCACGAGTGAGATAAGCAGAGATCTGAACCTTGCTTTTCCTGGCATAAGCTGGTCTGGTGCTCTGAAAGGCACATGGGGGAGGAGGAAGGCTTAGGTGGTGCAGTGCAGTGTCTTGATGAAGACAGGCCCATCCTCATGGGGAAATCCCAGGGATTTCTGACACACCATCCAAATCTCTCTTCCTGTCATTTACAGGCAGCAGCCCAGCCTGGTGTGCTTTCAGTCTGGTACCTGCACTGGGCTCCAGCTGGAAATGGAGGAAGCTCTTCCTCCTTTAAAGAGCTGCTGTGTCCCTCCTCTCCACTCTTAAGAGTGCCATTATTTCCTGCAGATTAAACCTTACAGCATTCCTTGGGCTCTGCCTCCCTGCCAGCTTTTCCTGGGCATCTGTGGGCTCGCAGGACCAGCACACCTGGCGTGGAAATCCTCTGAAAACTTCTGCTGCTGCAAATCCCACTGCCCCCCTGGCTCCTGCAGAGCATCACTTTGGCCTGGCAGCCTTTCCAAGCCTGCATCCCACTTGCAGCATCCATCTTCATATGGGAACAAACCCTAATTTTGTGTCTCCAGCAGAGCAGCAGGTCCCAGGCCCTGGAGCCACCATTCCAGTAGATGGCATCAAAGACACCTCGTTCCTCTGCTGGATCCAAGGGCTGTTTTCCCACTCCCCACAGTCCCATTTCCCAGCAACTCTGGAGCAGATATTCCTGTAAGCAAAGCAAGCTCCTTGTGAAAAGTAAGCTGTGCATTGCTTTTCTTTGGCCTCACTGTTAAGTGGCATGTCCCATGTCACACACCAACGTGGTGCCCAGGTCTTCACCCAGCAGTGGGGACTGGGTGCTTTTTGCTTTTTGCTCATCTTTGGCCATTCAGCCACAATCTCACCTGAGAAATACATTGAAAAATTAATTATAGGCCTTCAGGTGCAGGTTTTGATGTCTGAATTTACTTTATATTCATATGTGTAATATTTGCATATGCAGTGCCTTGCATAGTAAGGAGATTTAATCTTCTTTTTTCTTTATTTATTTATAAACTGTGAAGAGACCTCATAGTTGCTGGAGGTCATTGATCTACCAGACATGAAGAAATCCCTCTTCTTGAGTCCAACCTGTAGGATTTCCCACAACCAGCAGGTCTAGCACGCCGCCAGACTTCAGCTGACACATCACACTGGAAAATCCAATCACTGCCACATCACATCTTTAAAACTTGATCACTGACTCACCATTATTTCTGATCTCTTTGGGAGTATTCCAAAATCAGGCTCCCTACATTAGCAGAAGGAGGTCAGGAGCAGTGAGTGAGTGCAGGAAGAGGGAACATCAGTGTAGTTTTTACTTTTAAACTTAGACCCCTGTGACTTTTAAATGTAATGATTGTGACATACCCTGCCCTTGGGAAGTGTATTCCAGCTGCCTCCCAGTGCTTGCATTAGCCAGTAGACTTAGCAGGATTTTATGGATCTATTTTCAATTAAAAGGAAATAGCTGGGATTTCTTCCCACTGGGTTCATCTTCTGCTTTATTTGTAAGTTCAAAAAGAAAAAAAAAATTACCCTTCCTTCTTTACCAGGCCATAGATACCACTTACCCTTTGGGCTGTACTCTTCAATCTTCATTTGCTAAAGGTGGCTTTGGCTTCTTCAGGCTGGGGCAGGCAGGATTTGGGCTGTAGGGTGAGGTTTGAGGGAGGCAGAGCGTGGCAGGCACACAGCAATGTCCATGGCTGGAGGTCCTGCAGGAAAAGTCTGTGAAATTGCAGCTGCTTGGTCTGTGCCAGGCAGATTTTGGATCATGTTCTGCAAAAACCTCGTGTGACAGAGAGATGTGACACAGAGCTTTGCTGGAGCTCCAGGAGAAAAGCAAATCTGCACAATGCATTTGTTTAATGGATTAGATCTGAAAACAGGATTAAGCCCTCCTCAGGGCTTTGAGGTGGCAAACACAAGGCTCAGCTGGGCCAGTGGATGCTCCTGTGGCACGGTCCCGTTGCAGTGCTGAAGGTGGTGTTGGCACTGGTGGCACCTTTCAGTGGGTGCTGCTGCCTTGGTGCGCCCTGGGGCTGTCAGGCTGATGGCCACAGGAGCAGCTGGGAGCCTCCAGCTGTGCCCCTGGCCTCCACCTCAGCTGGGAACAGCATCCTCCAGGATGAGCAGTCCATCAGTGCTGCTCCTCAAACATCCCCTCTGCAGGGTGGTGAGGGGGGGAATCATTGCAGATTTAACACGTGGCTTTTAAGGCACGAGCTTAGCCCAAAATGCTGGCAAATTTTACAATACCAGCAGCTGAAACTTTCACAGGGTGAAGCTGGACTGTGTTTTCTAGGTGGGATGTACCACTGTGCTGCCCAGGGTCAGGGAAAAGATTCCTACCCAGGAAAAACAATGAAAGCTGCCAGCACTGGTTATCCTGTGCCCTGGGAATGAGTGAGCAGAGCCTGAGGAACAAGTGTTGTGGGGAGAAGGGGATTAAGGGAATGAAGCTGAAAGAAAACCAGCAGTGCCTGGGGCCATTCAGGTGTTATCCTGGGTAGAAAGGCTGGAAAGCTGGGAAGAGTGAAAGGGGAGGTAGGAGGGACCTCTCCAGGTGACACTTTATAACTTGGAGGTTTATCAGGCACCTGAAGTCTACAAAAAATACAGTATTAGTAATTGTGCTGGGAAGGGACAGGGGGGTGTGGTCTCAGAATGCTGCTGTGCAGTGGCAAACCCTCTGTCCCAACATATTCCTTCCCATTTGTAGTTTCAGGAAGGTTTACACACTAAAACACCTCACTCAGCACTGGGGGACTTCAGGGATCAGTCCACAGCCCTTGGCTCTCCCATGCACTCCCAGGAGACAGGGAAAGTTTGGCCTTGCCTGCACTGAGGAACGAAGGAATAAATAATTAATTTTTCCTGCCCTATGCAATTCACCATTTATAGCAACAAAATCCTGCATTCTGGTTTTCAGAGAGCTGGGGACAGGGAGAGGGGGATCCTCTCCATCCCTGTTGTGGGGAGCCTTGTCCCAAACATGGGGCAAAGCCTGATGAGAAAAGATAAAATCAGCCTGTGTTCTACAAGCTGGAAGTTGTCCAACAGCAGCTCCAATTTGACTTATCCTTGTCTAGTTTCTATGTTGTTTCCAGATCCATCCATCCATATATATATATATATATAATATATATATATATATAAATATTTTTTATATATATCCTGAGCTTCACATATTTGGCCACTGCATTTGGGGAAGTCTGGAAAATTCATCTACTTGTTTCAGCAAAGGCAGCACATCTCCTGGCTGGAATGCTGGGCATTGAGAAGATGCTGCTTTTCAGCCTGATTTGAGCAATCTCCTTTACATTTCAGACTTTGCAGAGATCTGTGTGAAGGTTTCCTCTGTAGCTGTGCCAGGGAGGGGCAGGTGGTGACTCAGAGCCAGCTGGTTGGTGATGGGGTGTCAGGAGCACGGGGACATGTGAGGACAGAGCACAGGAGCCCAGGCACAGGGAAGGCCAGAACAACCTGGCAGCAGATGTGGGGGAGCTGCACTGACCCTACAGCTCCACTTCCCCAAAAACAGCACCATGGATGGCCAGGTCTGACCATGCCAGCCTGGCCTGGGCCAGCCCAGCTGAGCTGCTTGGGGAAAGGATGGGTGGCACTGTGGGGTTTGGGGTTTTGGGGCCAGCTGCTGCCTCTGAGCAGCCTCTACAAACTGAGTTTAGCTGCTCATGACACAAAATGCAGAGCTTGAGATGATTCATCATCTCCCCCCTCGTCACCTGCTGTGAAGGACAGGCACACAGCTAAAAGTTTTCTGTAAATGCTAATTAAAATGGACTTAGCTAATGAGTGATTGGTTTTTTGATTGCATTAAGATTCTAAGTGTAATGAATTTAACTGAAGTATGGATTACAATCTTGTTCTAATTAAAACAAAAATGTGTAACACACATTAGCACATATCAGAAGGAGTTTTAATGGTTGTTTGGGATCAAACTCTTGAAAATATTAATGTGTTGTCTAAAGCCTCCAGCACTTAATTAAATTCTTCATCTAAGTGGAATTCAGGTTACTTCAAAGGGCGCATCCATTCACCACTTTCTTCTGCTCTCAGAAATAGAGGGAATATAGATCTGAATTGTTGCTTCCATGCTACCCCTCCAGCTCTGGATCCTGACTTTCTCAGTCCCCTCCAACCCTGTGGCCTGTAGAAGAGAGGGGGAATTTGTAATTCTGAGCCTTTTGCATATCTAATTGCTGAGCAAGAGGTGCCATTTTCTGCCTTGCTTTGGGCACAGAGAGTAGGGGAGTAGGGTCAGGAGGTTGTTGTCACCTTGCAGTAGATGGACAGAGATTAAACACCACACTTTGCTGCCAGCAGCCACAGGGAAAGGAGTTCAGTGTTGCTGCAGCAGCACCAGGGAAAGCTGTGATCAGAAGAGTGGAACAGAGCTCAAGTTGAAATGTCAGAATCCAGGGGGTCAGGAAGGGCTCACAGCTCTTGTCTGGGCTGGGCTACAGCTCTGCCTCTCACCTTTGCAGCTCTAGAGGAACTGCACTTTAATCCAACTTTTGAGTGCCAGATGATGGAGGGATGGCAAACAGGGTGTTCTCCCAGGAAAGCACTGCATTTAATTTCTTCCACTCTTTTGGCAGCACCTGTTTCTGCACTTCTTTAAGACAAAACACAGCCTTTTCTTTTTCTCTGGATGCTGCCTGGGGCAGGAGAAAGGCATTTGCTGTAGGTGGTGCCTCCACCCAGCTCCTACCAGAAGTGACATGTTTGCAAAGCCAAAAAGTCACTGCTTCTGAGGCCTCTCCAACCACCAAAAACAAAGTATTTTTGAATATCTGTGATCCCTTTTCTCCCAGCTGTGACCTTCAGCTGTCTGCAGTACCCCTTCCTGTTTCTAAATCACCTGGAGGTCCTTGGGAGGGCACAGGGGAGATGCAAACTCACCTGTGAAGGGGAGCAGGATCCCAAAACTACAGGTGAGACATGGGAAGTTAAGGCATTGACAAGCTGGTGCATCATTTCTATGAATTTGGTGTCAGGGCTTGATTTTTGAGGGACAGCCGAGCAGATGTCAATGTTCCAGGTGCTCCCAGTATGGACAGGTCAGAGGCTGGTGGAAGGGATCTGCCCTCTATCCCCAAATGAAAGACAGATCCACAGGGAAAACTGGGAATGTGCAGCTGCCTCTTGCTCTCCTGGCCATGAGGAGCAGGGAAGAGGCTCTGAAAGAGCAGCCCTTGCTCCAGGGCAGGGCTGGGGAGGAAGATGTGTGAGCTCAGGAAGAGCGTGTGGTTATGAGTCAAGGTGTCACCAAGCAGCTTTGAGGTGACACTCAGACCAGAACCAAAGGTTTCCTGAAGTCAGAACATCTCATCTGGGTCACACTTGAAACAAACCAAGCTCAGCTCAGCCACACAGCAGCAGCTCACACCAGCTCAGGACTGAGGTGTGGCAGTTCTTGCAGCAAGTCTGACAGTGCAAACCCTTCTGGTCTGGGTGCCACAGCACCTCCAGTGACACATCTGTAACTGGGGCCATACAGCTCCCCTCACGCTGTGACATGGCAGCATATCACTGGTTTTATGGCTGCTCTGGTCACGTCTCCCTGCCCAAATCACTGCCTGAATGGTAAGTCTGGGATTGTCCCAAACCCCCCTGACACCACTCCACAGCTGCTGAGCCCTGCCATGGCAGTGGCACAACATCTGTGAGTTCTGCAGTTCCAGGATAATCTCATTTAGAGAGCCTTACTGGCCATGTTAACCCAGTCAGTAGCTGGTGTTTACTCAGTTTATCAAGTCCTTGACTGTGTGTGCCCTGCATTGATAGAGGGAGGAGATTTGACACTAGAATTTAGAGGTTGATTTAGGAGTCCTGCTTGCCTGATGTCCAAGTCTGTGGTATGAGTTTACAAGCAAGGCAGAGAGGTTTGGAGCCCAGTGAGGGCTGAATTGCAGCCATCACTTCTGCAAAGAGAAGTACCCAACCCACTGAGCAGAGAGGAGGAGTAGCACTGAGTGAGTAAACCTAATTATGTGCCAAAGAGGTTGCCAGGAGCTGGAGGGACAGAAGATGCTGGAAGGTGAACTCATGAGCATAAGATAATGTCACTCCTGTGGTAGCACAGAGGAGAGAACTTGCAGCCAGAAGAGGCCATGGCCAAATACCTCAGCACCCTGAGATGTCCAAACACCTCAGCACCCTGAAATAAAGTTAAGAAGAATGGGACAGGCCACCCAGGGCAGTGGTGGGGTCACCATCCCTGGAGGGATGTAAAAGATGTTCAGGTGGGGTTTGGCAGTGCTGGGGCTGGACTCTTTGAGGTCTTTTTCAACCTAAAATTGCTTCTGTGATTCTAAGGTGATTCAATCTAATTTCAGATAAAGACAGGACTTTGGGACATTGAGAAGCCCCAAATGGATGTGAGTTTGTGTCTGTGTGTGTGCAAACATGGCCATATAACCCTGGGGAGAACTGGGGAAGTTAGCAGGCACCTGAGAGCTGCAGCTGAACAGCCTGAATGTGATTTACTGAGAAAAAACTCCAGCTCTGTGTTCCTCCAAAAGC